TCCAAGGTCATCTTTTACAAACTCCTACTTCCATGCAGACTCAGTCAAGGGTCTCTGGGTTATGGCACAAATCAGATTTACACTGATGCAAAGGGGTTTTCTCATGCCCACAACAAATCCAGGAGGACAAAATGGTGTGAGTGCTCCCAGCAGGCACCCAGTCCATGGGACCTGTATGTTTCTCACACCAACTCTGCCAAAATCCTGATTGCTGAAAGAGAGAAGCAAACCCAGCAAAGCAGAGGAGCCCAGCACTGCAGAACCAACCCCACATCCTGGGGAGCTGCAGCACTGACACCCCAAATGTGGAGCCTGAACAACCTCCCCGTGCCCCAGTGTCCCCCTCCTGTCCTGAATGTGAGGAGCCTTCCAAAACCACCCCAAATCACCTTTAGCACCTCACTCATGAAAGCAGAATTATTCCACATCAGCATTCCAGACCAGCCAACCTCAATGCAAATGGCCAAGTTCATACTAACATTCCACTAAAAGTGATGAATCTRTTTTAAATCTTAGCAGCTTATCATATTTTTAAAGGAAAAGGACTTTTCCTGATATAGAAGTAGGGCTCAGTATAGCCTGACTTCAACTCAAAATGCAATTCTAAAATAAATGGAATTTCATAGCAGCCACAACCATCTACTGGCAGTGGGTCCAACCAAAATATATTCCCTATGCAAATGATCACAGTGGAAAAAATAACTCACCTAGAAATGGAATGAGGCTGAATTAATTAGTGTTAAAGTTTATAATCCCTCATTTTTACATAATAGTTACATGACCACAAGTGAAGCATAAAAAGAGGAGGGAAAAAAAATTGAAGTGTTTGGCTTCATTAATCAGTTCATAAGTTTACTGATTTAGCTTGCAAAATTTATTCACATGCAGTGCTGGCTTAAAACCCCATATATTACAAGTCCAAATCCTACCCAAGATACAGAAGGATCTCATTTTTAATTTATTTAAATAAATTATCTGAAGAGCTTAAGGAGGAAASAGAGAATGTGCAGCACTGCAAATTTAAAAAATACGGGAAATTGCATTTCAAAACGACATTCAAGGCAGAAACCAACAGYAGAAGGAAGCAGCATAAAGCAGTGAACACTTGACAAATATGAGTGTTGCACAAGCTTCTACTAAAAGTCTTTAGGAACACCCACCCCAACTATTTCTCACTAATTCATGCTTTTGAAGTACCACTTGAAGTTCACTAAGTATCTTTACAAGAATCCTTTTGCCAGTTTTCAAATATTTTGTCTGTTTTGACTGGTTATTTTTACAGCCAAAGTCAGAAACCAGACTTGAATCTACTGTCTGTTAACACCTTCTTTCACTCGTGAAAGACAAGGAGAGACACAAAATCTCACACTCTGCTTCCTTTATTCAGACTGCAAACCCAAGAGTGGTGCTGGTACCTGCAAGGCCATTCAGGTGAAAACACAGCTGCCCATGCTGGGCCCAGGCTCTCAATCAACTTCATTATTATACACAGATATTCAATTTCATATCTAAGTGTGCTTTCAAACCTGCATATAAAAGTGGAATTCAAGTCAGACATGAAATTACRTTACTACTACCCCCCTTTCCTCAGCTAGGGAGTCCTATAGTTTAAGGTACACAGAAAGGAAAAGAGAAAAACGTCCAGGGGTATTCCATGTCCTACACCTCATGAGTTAGGCTGTTAAAAAAAAAAAAATAAACCAAAACTAAAAAAACCACTCTAATTAGAAGCCATTTCTCTAATGGAAAAACTCTAAAAGCAGAAGTTGGACCAAACCGCTCAAAATAACAGCAAGATCCCAAAGTGTAACATCAAAACTGCAAAATCAAGGAGGTCTGRTAAGGGAAAGACTGTTATCAGCCAGGAGGCAGCATTTCTTTTAAATACATTTTTGAAGGAGCTAAAGCTGTGTTTTCTTGTCATCTTTATTCAAGTATTTCACAGCAGTTATATTACAAATTACAGTAAAATGTCCAAAATTTCCAGAAGTTCAAAAAAATTAAATAACTTACTTCAAACTAACGTAAAATGAAGTCAAAATGCAAAACATCAATTTAAACACAATTCTGAATAAAACTATAGAATCCAAAATATACCATAGCTGATGAAGGAAGTCTACTTAATCCACAAAGTAGACACACGTTAATGGAACCAAACAGGACGCCCCAATGTCTAAATAACCCAATGTACAAGATACAAAAGATGCAAGTACAAGCCCAAATTCAAGCTTATGTTGTGATTACAAAATAAAACAAAAACAAAATAAAGGACTATCAGCTGCAGGACCTGCCATTCAGGAGACTGAAGGTAAAACCAGCGCTGACCCACCAACTTAAAAAAAAAAAAAAAAAAAAAAAAAAAAAAAAAAAAAAAAAAAAAAAGGAAGACAAGATATTACAAAACCCAGTAATCCTATAAATACATTGGCATATGAGGAAATCAAGTAACAATACAGAGGACACAAAACAAAACAAAAAAAAAAATAATCACAAGTGAGATTCAAGCTTGCAAATACAATTAACTCCATAGCCATCAACCTCACCCAAGAGMAATTCTATCACTCCAAGACAGCCCCCCCAGGCCCCCAGGGAATCCTCCTTCCTTYTGGCTGGCCACATTCCATCGAGCCCAGCACAAGGACTCACACAGGAGTTTATTTGCAATTTTCACAACAAGAAACAAGGAAGAGAGGTCAATTTGTACAAACTCTTGCCAGTGCTATGTGGCAAAAAATTAAAAACATACAAAGAGTAAACAAGTTTAGACCACATGGATAGATTAACAGCTGTTTTAACTCTATAACCACCAGACATCTGTAAAGGAAAACAAAAACTGAAGTGTGGTTATTTGGGCTAAGAAGGCGAGTATATCATTTTAGGTAAGCTGTCCACTAGAACATCTGATATTAGCTACATTTCTCTAAAACAACATGGCAGCTCCTCAATTAGTAAAGTTGCCTCTTAATGGTTTTTCCCAATCAACAACTGACAGTAAAMATTTTCCTTTAGAAACCTGACCTTTTAGAACCATTTTTAATGCTAGGCATTAGCTTGCTTTTTACACTCACTGGTGACAAAAATTCTCAACTGTTTTAGATTATATAAATTTATTATCTTCTTAAAAATGAATGCARTTTTATCTTCCACAAGTGCTGCTGTTACTTGAACAAAAATTTCTTTGAGTAAGTGAAACTGGAATAAATATTTTTAAAAAATTCTGCAGCAAGAACCTGAGACTTGCAAAAAACCCTTTTATCAGAAACTTGCTACAAAAAATCTGCTACATTTCAATTAATCAAATCTTAAAGTTTGTAACAATTTCCATCAAAATACAAAATGCTGTTAATGTACCAGACACATAAATATCTCAAACAGGTATGATGCTAATAAATACTAAATGAAACATGGAAAAAAATCCCATAATCAAATCTGAGATCAAAGAATCTCATTTAAAATGTGTTTTCTGCTTTTTTTTTTGTTGTTTTTAATCGCACTTTCCCACCTAAAAAATACAGTGTTTCTGCATGGGTTGCATTTAAGTGTAACTAGATGTACATGAATGCTTAAAAACTTTTTCTGCCATTACCTATGAAGAAAAACAGTGGCATCAGGGGGAGAAAAAGATCTGACTGCTGTTTAACCATAATGAACAAAGCACTTTGGATTACTGCAGTAGCCCAAAGGCCATGTTTGCTCTCTCTGCAGCACTACCCTGGGATGAGCCATAGAGGTGGAGACAAGTCCCTAAGCCTGGCTTTGTACACGGGAGCAGCGTGATTACAGTCCACCATAAACACTGTTGGTAACTAAAATACAAAAAGCTGAGGTAGCTCAGTATCTCTGCAGTAGTCTGTTTTCTCTAATTAAAAACTAATCACACTGCGTTGCATATTTCTGGACAGACACATCTGCAGCTACGTAGGGACAGTCACAATGAATGGTTCACGATGGGAACACCAGCCAACTGCTCTAAAACACTTTCCACGTGGGTGTGAAATAAACCAGCCCAGGTCATGTTCTAATACCGAGCTTGTGATGAAATCTAAAAACTGCCTAGACTGTTCTCTCCAGTTGCCAGAAAGGAAAGGTGTTGAACTACACAATTCAGACCCAGAGAGCTCTTAGAACAGTTGGGTTCAAAAGGCTCTCCTCCAATCCTCCCAACAGTAACAATGCTTTGCACAGAACGACTTGTGAAACCTAAGAGAAGTTTTATTTTCAGCTGAGGTTGGGCTCCAGGACTCTGACCAACTATAGTGTCTTCTCACCTGCACTGCACAGTCCAAGCTATATTACAAACACAGACCTTCCCAATGAAACCTGCCAGTATTTATCCTTGCTTTCCTCAGACAACTCGCACTGGAAAACAAGGAGATGGTGGGAAAATGCTTCATTTTTAGCAACACAGAAGAGTTTCACTGTGTAACTTGTTTTTAAAACAAAATATATACCAATGAGAAAGAAATTTCACCATTTTGGTAAAGTATGTGGCTTTTTCAGTGTGTCTTAGTTTAGTTCTGTAGAGTAAGACAGGCATTATAGAACCATAATACTGGTTGCCATCCAATGAAGAGAATACAATTCATCCTTYTGGAGATCTTCATTCTGCAGACAGCTTTCTAACATTGCCATTTGCTATAATYCAAACAAATTGCTTAGCCTCATCTTTCTCAATTGACTAAAAGGCACATTAAAGGCAGTTCTAGAGAGCCTCATCTTCAAATTACTGTACATCCAGTTACTCAAGATTCCTACCACAATGCATCACTGCCTTCTTTAGGACAGATTTTTTTTGTCCATAACCCCAGAGAAGAGAAAAATTGGAAAAAAAAATTAAAAAAAGGTTGCCTGTTCAAAAATATTCAACTTAGATCTGCTCTTTCCAGTCCTCTTGTATGTGTTGGTCTTCACTTTGCCTGAAGTTTCCCCAAAGATAATGCATGTAGAGTGAACAAGAGCAGGAATGAGAACAGTTTCTGTAGCACCAAAAATCTCCAAGCTGTGGCATTGTATTCTTTATTTATATCAGATACAACTATATGAAGTTCCGTTTGGTTCTTGTAGGCTGGTTGGTTTCAGGTACCTGAGACAATAGCACCAAATTCAACAGAAACRAAAAGAGAGAGCACTTAAGACCAAGGCTCTGCACATACTTGGTGCAAATGGAAACTGAATGGCTCAGAGGACTGCTCTCCCATGAGCAGTTTGAGAGGATAAACCCACCCATCTTGACGAGTTCACAGGAATGTTTCAAACACATGAACTGTTCTTTCCATCTCCTGCAAGAGACACAAACCATTAGCTATTCATAAATATGCAGAGACAGAAATAGAGTTACTTTTTGAAGTAGTACTTACTGTGTTACTTATTTTAATCTGAACAAATAAATAAATGAAAATAGACATTTCTGTTTATTAGCTGCTATCTTCTATCAAAATATGATTAAAGAAGAAAATCATTAAAGAAGTATTAATGCAGAAAAGTACTCTACTGTGAAAGTCCATGAGAAAATCAAGGCTTATTAGGATCACTTACATAATTAATGTGCTCAGTATGTATTAGGAAAGCATTGCAGTAGCACACTGCATGAATTTAAGTCTTACTGCATGCTTATGCTGTTGGTGACCCAGCTGTAACCACATCTCTGCACAGTCTGGATAATCAAAGTAAAGATCAGTATCTACACTCTCCTGCTGGACAAATGCCTTTTTTATCTACCTACCATCTTGCACAGACTTTCAACATATTTTTAGGTGAAGATAGCAGAGGAATAGCATGAAAATTGTTTGAAAAATATTCTGCAGGAACTCTACAAAAACACACACTATGGCTTTCACAGGTTTTGTTGTAAATTATTCATGGAGAAAAATATTTAGTGCTCAATGATCCAACTGGAAAGTAGCAATTGTTGTCCTTTTCTCAGCAGGGCTGGTTATCAGTTGAATCAGCAAGCTGATCCAAACCCCTCAGCAGTTAGAACAGTGTGATGGAGGGAATGCACATCCAGAGCTGGGATCAGCCTGTGCCAATGGTGAAATGCCCTTGGAGGGCAAACACTTCAGTGACAAAGGGTGATGGCAAGGCAGACACCTGGCTTCCACCATGCTGCTCTGATCTTCCCAAGGCTGTATTTACTRACCTAAAAATGGTGGTCACATTTCTAAAGCCTTGTATGAAAGTCAGAACCAGCAAACTGTGTGGAGCAGAGGTGGGTAACTGGGTTTTGGCCTAGTTACAGCAACACAATTAGGGGCAACTGCAGCAACTCGGGGTCGGGGTGTCTGTGAAACCTGACAACCACTGCTAGTCATGCCACAAACATGGACACTGCTTCTACCCCATTCACTCTGCCACAACATGCTTTTCATACTGCTGTATTCTCTCCCCACTTTCCTCCCTTCTTTTAGGTTAAATGCTTAATCYTCTTCTGAGAAGAGCATTATTAGAAACAGCCTCCGGTTTCTAAGTTACTACACTAACTTTTTTCCTTTTATAGATACCTTCCTCAAGGTCTATTAAAGGTTTCCTTGCTAGTAGAACAACAAATTGACACATTAACAGTTCTTGAAAAAAATCTATCTCACAATATTAAGATAAAGAATAAAAGCAGGTGTACAACATCACCTCTATAAGTTGTGATTTGTCATAGTCTCTACGATGTCTGTAGATGCATTGACTGAGGAGTGAATACAATCTCTCAAGTTGGTCAACAGTCAGGTTGTCACTTTTCTTAACCACCAGATCAAGCAGTTTCTGTTGGAACAACAAAAGGAGGGTTTTTTTCATCAGTTTCTAAGTGTTTTTTAAGGGCAAATCAGAAATGCCTTCTTTCTGAAGCACTCCTTCGAAGGGGATACATGAAAACGAAGAAACCACACCTGGTTATCAGTAAGGCCACTGCTTCCATATAGATACAAAGAGAATTCGATGTATCTTTTCACTTCTCCACTTACACCCACACTGCTTAAGATTTCCTTTATTCAGCATAGCTCAGGCCATGTTTATTATTTTGAAATGCTACTTCATCCTATTTCATCTTGGTCAGTAATTGCAACAAAGCAAACTCTAAAAACTGCTTTGATGGCTAAAGCAGACATTTTTAATAACTTACACTGATAGGGAAAAAGAAAGTACAACCACATGAAGACATATCTAGAATTCCACAAATGTTGACACATGATACAAAAAAGAGAAGGAGGTAGAAGGAGAACACAAGACATGTAAAATTTCTCATAAACACAAGGTGAATGTATTTCACATAGCACCAAAGAGCAAAATTTAAGATTTTTTTTCCTCCTGTCATAACAACYCGATGGTTTCCAAAGAGATTATCATCTGTACGCCACAGAAAATGGGATCTAAATKTCATAGGTCATAGTAGGTCAAGCTATTTTTTACAACAGAAGTCAGCAAATTTTATCATAACTTTGCTTAAAAAAGCTGAAAGAAAATTAACTAGCAGTCTATGATGCCAAAACATCAACACAAATTCCCATTTGCTTTTCAATCCACTAAGTTTTCTCCACCAAGTACACCGACACAGGAAGGAAAAAGATGATGTTAACTCCCAATTACTAGGCACCCAGCAGTTTCTTGGTACCTGGCATGGCCAATTAACGCACATGAGTACCTGCAAAAATGGTAATTAWAATAGTGGACTGCTGTGTCATTACTGGATTATAAGGGTAGCAACGATGGGACAGTAAGGATTCGGTAGTTTTATTAACTTTTCATCCAAAAAACACTGATGGACAAATAATTTCCAAAAGTAACTGGCATCAGAATGCTTGTTTGGAGTAMAAAATAAAGGAAATGTTACTTCAGAACACAGAAAGGAAGCATTTTTCACRGAGCCTGTTAACAGTATGTCCTGGGGATGTCTTTTTATCCCATCSCAAGTCCCTGTCATACAACAGTCCCTGTAATCTGCGAAACGACATTGTGTGAGAGGGACACAAGGCTTTTCCAACCTGGTTACTTCGGGTTTTGGACTTTAAGGGCCCAGGAATGCAATTGGATAGTGGTGAGGTAAGGTATTTGGGAGCCTTGACCCATGATGTGGGTGTTGATCAGGTGYTCATGAGGGAGCCCTTTTCTCTCTAGGAGCAGCTTTTAATGAATGTAAGAGAGAGGTTTGTCCACAAGGACAGGATGCAGGAACACTGTCGTAGAATGCTCTGGAAGACAATTGAGGAAGGGATYCAACAKCTCAGAGAAGTRGGAGTAATGGAGGTGCTCTTTGGAAGGGACGGGCAGCATCATAATGATCCTGATCAGGTCAGGTGCACYGGRCAAATGCTGTGGAATCTGGCRAGTCAYGGGCCATCCCAGTATGCCACCTTCATTRCCACKATTAATGCTGATGACAACCGAGAGACAGTGGGTTCTGTAGCCAACAGGCTCCGGTATTACRCGAGTATGATCAATAGCCCAATGCAGGCTCACGTCTCTGCTGTGGTTAAGGACCTCAAAAAGGAGATAGGGGAGGAGGTAAGAAAGAACAGTGACCCCATGCAGGTCACAGGCCCCAGTGTCAGAGCCCAACATCCCCCAGCTAGGGAGAGGGGATACATCCCATGAATTCACCTGTGGGCCTTTCTGTGTGACCATGGGGAAGACATGAGGAGGTGGGATGGGAAACCCACTTCTGCCCTGGCAGCCCGGGTGCATCAGCTCAAGGGGGAAAACACTAGCCAAGGCAGCTCTTCCAAAGGGAAGTAGCCTCAGCTTCCCGTAGCCAACCCACTAGACGCAATGGAGGGGGAGGTGATATGTCTGATTCCCTTGGAGGAACCTGTGGGTGGGCCCATGGAAGGGATGATACCCAGGGTTAGAGGGGGCCCTGCCTCTAGCCAGGTAGAGGCATGGGAAAACCGTGTCTTCTGGATGGTGTGGATCCGATGGCTTGGCACATCAGAGCCACAAAAATACGAAGCATTGGTTGACATGGGAGCGCAGTGTACCCTCATGCCATCGGGGCACGTGGGAGCAGAAATCATTTCTATTGCGGGGGTGACGGGGATCACAGGAGTTGACTGTGTTGGAAGCTGAGGTGAGCCTGACTGGGAGGGAGTGGCACAAACATCCCATCGTGACTGGTCCAGAGGCCCCATGCATTCTGGGCATAGATTTCCTCCAGAACCGGTATTTCAAAGACCCAAAAGGACTCAAGTGGGCTTTTGGAATAGCTGCTGTGGAAGCAGAGGGTGTTAGGCAATTGAATGCCTTGCCTCGACTATCAGAGAACCTTTCTGCAGTTGGACTCTTGAACATTCAGAAGCAATGTGTACCAACTGCCACCTCCACAGCTGGCAGTACAGGACAAATCAAGATGCCCTGATCCCCATCCAGAAGATGATCCAAGAGCTGGAGAGCCAAGGGTTGGTCAGCAAGGCCCACTCACCCTTCAACAGCCCCATGTGGCTTGTACACAAATCTGAAGGGGAAAGGAGATTGTCCATGGACTATCGTGCTTTGAATGAGGTGACTCCACCGCTGAGCGCGGCCGTGCTAAACATGCCGGAGCTCCAGTACGAGCTGGAGTCCAAGGCAGTGAAATGGTGCCACTACTGACATTGACAGTGCAATTTTATCCCTGTCCCTGGCAGCAGAGTGCAGGCCTCAGTTTGCTTTCACCTGGAGGGGTGTGCAGTACACCTGGAACCGGCTGCCCCAGGGGTGGAAGCACAGCCCCACCATCTGCCATGGGCTGATCCAGGCTGCGCTGGAAAAGGGTGAGGCTCCGGAACATCTTCAGTATATTGATGACATCATTGTGTGGGGGAACACAGCAACAGAAGTATTTGAGAAAGGAGAAAAGATCTTTCAGATTCTCCTGGAAGTCGGCTTTGCCATAAAAAGGAACAAAGTGAAGGGACCCGCTCGAGAGATCCAGTTCCTGGGAGTGAAGTGGCAAGATGGACAGCACCAGATTCCCACTGAGGTCCTCAGAAAGATCACGTTAATGTCTCTACTGACCAACAAAAAGGAGACACGAGCTCTCCTGGGTGCCATAGGCTTTTGGAGGATRCACATCCCYGAATACAGCCAGATCATGAGCCCTCTCTACCTGGTGACCCGCAAGAAGAACGATTTCCASTGGGGCCCTGAACAGCAGCAAGCCTTYRMCCARATYAAGCAGGAAATCRCTCATGCAGTAGCCCTTGGCCCAGYCAGGACAGGACCAGARGTGAAGAACGTGCTCTACTCTGCAGCYGRGAGCAATGGTCTGTCCTGGAGCCTTTGGCAGAAGGTGCCTGGTGAGACTCAGGATTGACCACTGCGATTGTGCAGCCAGAGTTAGAGAGGGTTGGAAGCCAAATACACTCCCACACAATTCAATTCATTTTTTCATTTCTGYTACCTTTAGTCTGTCATGGTCAACAACTACAGAAGGTAAAGGATCTGAAGGTTCCTCTGGAACTTGCTCCAAACTCRTGGGCTTTGACTGCTCCACAGCGACTTTTCGTGTTTTCTTGCTTTTGAATATACCTGTAATTTGGAAAACAACTGTCAGCACCATCAGTCTCACCAAATGCAATGTATTTCTTCATTTCAGCTTGATTTTGCTTGTTTAGTTTGTTGGGTTGTTTTGAATCAAGCAACACTGTAGCAGTGCAGTTATTCATCAGCTTTGCTRAAAATTCTGAATGTTTACAGGTGCACAAACCCACAGTTCAGAAAAAAAAACCCACAAAATTGGTAATCCTTAAAACCCAACTCTGAAGTGCCAACTTTAAATGAAAACTGAATTTCACTAAGAATTTTCTCATCGTATCTTTCTATTCAACAACAACAAATTAAACAGCTTCTAAGACAAGTTCAGATATTAGGCAAATGCTAAAATGCTTTCTGCTTAAGTGAAACAAATCTTCATTTTTCTCTCTAAAGCATCACATGCCTTCATCATCACAGTATTCCAACATCTGCTCTACTCCCAAAACCCCATGCTATTGYTACACATTTCTGTGTCTTCCACCTTTGTATTCAAGCTTTTGTCCAATTCTTTTACAAAGAACGAAGTATTTTCATAAATCCTGATTCTCTCCCTACATTCATTCACTATTTTTCTCCTCAMCTATTTAAAATGCCTTTTCTTCTGAGGACCTCTGCTATTATAACCATACTATAGTATGCCAAATTGACCTACCATATTCAGAAATGTAAAGGCTCTTAATACATCATATTCTTCTTGTGATATTCCTAGGACCTTTCTTGTACTATTCTCCTTACCCTTAGAGAAAATATGTATGTACAAACACAGCCAACATGTATACAGTAATCTTCTCTTAATTCAGATCTCTCATTAAAGCTCATTTACTTTGTAAATCTCAGCCCYAACTTTTGAAGTAAAGATTTCATTCTTTTAGATAATTCTGAAAAGCTCATTAAAAAGGCAATCATGCATAAGGCTTCTATTTCTGTTCCCTGAGGAAACTCTCTYTCTTGTCTTCAAAGGACATGGCCCCTTCTTTTATATACCACCAGGATTTTCCTGCTCCTTCTCTTTATCTTTTTTCTGTACTGTTATTGTGTTCACTGTGACTCCAAGATACCTTCTCCAACAGATAAACAAGTTTATCTGGCTTTTCCTGTGAGTTAAACTGCTTCAACTTTTGCTAAGAGCAAGTTTTTAAAGGAATAAATTCTGTATTTCTATGCTTTTTTACACAATGTCAATGATACTCTTATCATATTCTCTAACAAAACAAGTCAAAATCTATCATGTAGATCAAAATATAAATCAGAATATACAGACAAAAACATGTATTCTATGTATCCACATTTTTGAACATAAAACATTTGAACATGTATTTAATGTTATCTCATTTATGTTACGCTGTAAGCATACTAAGGGTTTCAAACAAATAGTCAGCAACTGATAAAATATTACTATTTGTAACATAAAATACTACAAGTGAGATACTCACAAGTTGTGAAAAATACACACATTAACTTGGACACTGAGAAAAAGATAGAAACATGGAAAACAASTTATACCTTCTTTGTCTGCTTCAGCATCTTTAGTTTCAATGTCTGTGCTCTGTAGTGTTTTCTCATTATTGCTGCAATGTGGTAACTCGGCTTTCACCAGATCAGTTTCTTGACTTTCACTGGAAGCTTCCATTTTCTGCTTTGGCTGATCTTCAGATAAAGATTTTTGCCTGTTGCTAGACCCATCACTGTTGCCACAGGGTGAAACAGCATCAAGTGATTCCATTTTACCATTATGGCAGGCTGGACCAGGTACACCTTCAGAATGTACGGATGTCTCTCCATTCACACAGTCCCCTTTCAACACAGAGTCCTTCCTTAATTCYTTATCAGCACCCAGGGTAACAGTGTCAGTTATTAACAGGGATTCATTTGAGCTCTCTTCTTCTGTGGATGCAAAATTGTTTTCCTTTCCTGCTGTCCCATTGTTAAGCCTCTGCTCTGCATCTATATCCATAATATCACAAGAGGATTCATCATTTGTCATAGAGAGGTCTCCTGTTTCCTCTCCATTCTCCTCAATGCAGTCAGTGCTGATCTCTAGTTCTCCATTTTCCAGCAATTTACTGTCCTCACCATGATTTTCATCGTCAGCAAACTTYGCATCATCTTCATCTTTCTTTAAATTATTGACTTTCCTCTTCTTAATGATGCCTTTGCCCCACTGTGAGCGTCGTCTCGATTTTCTCCGTATTCGAACTGAAAACAAACAAACACTTTTAGAYGCACAGGTACCCTCAGTGAAGAGACCAGGATATCAGAAAATGCTGCTGTCTGAGGCCATCAACTATCATCACACTTGAAGGAAAAATAAGCTGTCTGTTGATTTCAAYGTGAGCAAATTAGAGGTAGCAAGGACTTTTAGAAGTAAAAGGAGTGGATATTCAGTCATAAACTCAATTCCTAAACTAAGGAAACAAGAAATTCCTACTTAAAACAGCTAAGCAATGATTTAGAACTTATTCTCATTTGGGTAATGCAGACCCTAAAGACAGTTATTCTCATCTTCCCTTTTTAGATCCTCAGTGATTTATTATACAATAAAACAAATGGAAGTGCAATGCATGGATTCATAGAATAACTCAGCTTGGAAGGGACACATGGAAACCTCTACTCCAACTATGGTCAGTTATGAGGCCATATTGTGCTGCTCAACTCAAAGAAACATGGGCATGTGATCCTTTTTTCATTATTTCTGCATCCTCACTTTTTCATTATTTTTATTTCTTAGTTGTAATTTCTGTGCCTTTGAAAAATTACATAATAAACTATCTTTCAGAAAGGGCATTTTATTTTATTAACCTGTCTGCAGTGAGATAGAACKAACACACACCGATCTAAAGGCTTTGGGCACATTTGTAATTTGATGAGCAAATGCAGAAGGAAGACCATTCAAAACTAATGCTATTGTCAACATCCTTTTCAAGAGCACTAACTACAYACAGCTCAAAAGACCAAGGAAGACACTGGGAAAAACTGAAGCTTCTACATTCAAATTCAAGCAATGATGAAGACTGCTCCAATTTTGCAAAATTGCTGAAGTTGTGGCCCAGTGACTATAAATGAAAATCACAGCCAACAGTTACCAGAGACTGACAAATTTTCTTCCATTTCAAAATGAACTCTTACGTGGAACACCTCCATAATGTTCTTTGTATTTCTAAGTTGCTTTGATTTATGGGGTTTTAAGTCAAACCTGGGTCTACCAAGCCCACAAAGTAACAAAGTACCAAGTTTTGAGTAACAAAGATCTTGCTTTGAAGATACAAGCACTATGCAGGTACAAGTGCTGAGAATTAATTCACAGACACTCAGAAGCACAGTTGTACTTCAGAACCTCTCCCCATGAGTGCTGTATGTAAGCAGGTAGTTTAACCACTACATTAGGAATAAATCTTAACCTTTTACCTTTAAAGCTATCTGAAGATACAATCACACTSTAATAAAAACAGTCTCACTTGGAATGTGTATTTACTGTAATAATCCTTATGGAGAATTGCAAGATTTGAGGGGAAAAAAATCCCCTTTCTCCATCTATACACAAAATTCCATAGTGACTTCTACAGTCAATGTCACTGTTTTATTGAAGGCAAACTACAACCTACTCACATAACTTTTCAGAAGTTCATTTTTCCCCTAGATTGTGCAAGAGATTTTCATTAATCACTGAAGGAGCAAATCTGAAACTAAAATGGGAAATGTAAACTTATAGCCAAAAAAATCCTCTTTTAGGCAATGGGTTGAGTCTCAGTGCAACCCCAAAGATGGGTAAATAACACACAGATGGACAGTAAAAGTCTTTTAAAGGAAATCTAGTATGTCCTAAATGTATAAATAAGTTGGAATTTTARAACATACACTGATTTTTGGCTTCTTAGGCTGACTTTGTTGTAATTCAGATAGACACATCAGACATAAAAAATGTCAAATACAGTTGACAATGYATCAGTGAATTGTACTTCAAATATATTTTTACTGGTCCATCTCTTCTGAGTCCACACTGTGAGTTCCACCTGGGATGAGAATTCATAATTTGCCTAAACACACARGTACATTCCTAAAATTCTTAGATGTGAGAGAAATAATTTTAAAGCAAAATGGAATGAATTCTTGTATTACCCTCTTATCAAATTTCAAGTCTTCCCAAATGACAGCCAGCAAGTCCAGCTCACTCAGTGTCTCATGCTGTACTTTTTGAACAAACATTAGGTGTGTTTTTTTTCACTGATGCTTTTAATTAGGACAAAGCAACAAAAAAAAAAAAGTGATGCAGCAATGTCTTTTGGGATGAGAGGGGACATTTTGGTTCCAGAACTTAGCAACCAAAACACTATCACATGGATTTTGTTTCACACTGACAGCCAAGCTGAGTGAAAAGCTGAGCAAGGAATACAATATTTAAAAACAAACCCCACCACCAGYCTTTCTGTTCTGCTTATTCCCCCAGTTAAGGGAGTGGCACAAGTAGGAGAAGTGTTTAATGGACCAGACAATCATGTGACAAATTGCAGACTGACAACACCAGATTTCATCATCTGTATTGGTCCCCTTGATATTTAATGGAAAGAAAAAGGCACTACTGCAAGAGTATCAGGGACCTGAGAAGTTGCYATATGAGGCAGGAAACAGTAAAATATATTACTGAATCCTGCAGGACAGCTGAATATAACTTAAAAAGGAAGAAGGACCTACCACAGGGTAAAACTGAGGCAAAACTAATGGGCTAACTGAGAGGAACTAATGGGTTAAGGGATTACTGCCAAAAAGTAAACTTAACCCGGAGTCCCATCTTTGCTGCCTTAATGGTTATATTTTAGAAGATTGTAAACTATCAAGAGCAGAATGTCAAACTTTTTTTTTTCTAGTCAGTAGAATTCATGACATACTATCAGCTTCCTGTAGGTAGCAGAATGGGACAGCTATTTACAGAAGAAAAACTTTGAGTGAACTTTGTGTAAAAAATGAACAAAGTACATACAATTGCAACTTAACGTCTTAACACCTTTTCAATTCCTCCTTTGAAAACTATTCATCAGGAAACYCTCCCCATTGACACCCAGTCTTTCAGCATTATTTGTGCCAGAGGCAATGTGAATACTTATGTCAGAAGAATCGTGCTTTACGGAACTGAGTTTCTCTAACTCAAAACTATTATAATACCAATTATTCACACATGAATACGTTCACTTGCCTTCTAAATTGGCCAACTATTCACTCTATAATCTTCACATAACCTCTACCGATTTGCCRAAGGGATCCTCATTTCAGTTCTAGCTTCTGTCTGGTTTGCTTTTTTGTAAATCACTACTAGGCATTTTTAATAACAATAAATATCTGTCTGACCACAAGTCACACCTACCATTTCACTCAGGTTCACATGAAGTTGGTATTAAAAACAAACTTCCCCTGCTCTTTTTTTCCTAAGCTTTACAATCTATGCAGACAACATTTTTTTAAGTGCTATGTAATACAATGCAATTAATCAATGAATACAAATTTACTCTATATTTTGTTAAGCAATTAAGTGAAGTTTCTCAATTCGTCCATGCCTATGTTAAGATAATTTCAGAGTCATCTGAAAGACCCATAAACAAGGAAGACAGTGTTTCCCCTAGGCATGATTAAAACAAAATTCTGTACAGTCCTTTCTTCAAAAGTAGTGAAGGAGTCCTCTAAATGAAGTTAAGCAAAATGAAAGCTGTTGCAGACTTTCAGAAATTCTGAATTCTTGCCCACTGACAGGTGTTGCTTGGAGATTCTCCAGTCAGCTACACTAAGTAATGAYAACATCATCTGGTGAAATAAGCACCAACCCTGTCCAGAGGAGAGCACAGTTCTTGGCTATTAAAGAACAGTGGTAGGGAAAAAAAAAACAACCAAACTATTTGAACCAAAAAATTCAACTCCTTCCCACTTTTCTGAWGTATTTATGCAAGACCTAGAGGTAACTGTGACCTTTCTGTTTAGTTTGGTCTCGGGAAAAGAGATCTCAAAAGCATGGGTGAATGTATGGAAGCTTCAGAGTTGAGGAGGCATTGTTGCTGTGCCCCAAATCCAGAAGCCCAGTGACAGAACTGCAGACTACAGAGAAATAAAGTGAACAGCTGGAAAAGAAAGCAGACACAATTAGATGATTCAAAGACCGTCAATTATTAACAAGCAAGTCTGCTTCCCTTAATCTGGAAGAACCCTAATAAGATGCAGCAGAGATGTTTCTCTTAAAATTTCTCTAGTTTGGCTACTACAGTACAATGAGTGCAGCACAGTATTCGAGGCTAACGAGTTCAGTCTATGCTGCAGAAAAGCACCTTCCATGGGGCTTCCACACTGCTTAAAACCCATCAGAGAACGTGAATCCTCTGCCATCAAATGATAAAACTGACATCCATCAAATTGTAAATTCTCTGTTATTACTTCATTTCATGAAGAATTCCTGGGGATTAAAACCCAAAGATTCTCACAGCAAGCAAGATCACCATGGATCTAGATTTTCAGTCTGAAGTACCAAGAACCACTTAAAGCAATTCACGTGTTTTAAGTTTTTCTTCCATGATCAAAACCTTCAACACCTTTCTGATGTCTTGTGTGTAAAGTAACTCAAAGCCTTGAGAAAGCACTTAAAACCAGCAACTTACACTCTTTTATGCAGCATCCAGGATATCTATGTACCTGCCACAGTAATTTAGCTGCTTCCAGTAGCTCCACATTCCTTACCAAGAGACACTAAATAGTCCACTTGAAAGTCTCTGGAGTTTCTACTCASGAAGTCCCAAACTGCAGTCAGAGATAAGCAGCAAGAAAGAACTGATCACAGTTCCACAATGGCTTAAAAAGCAAGGTGAGGTGCCAGCTTCCACTAACAAAGCCATTTCTCCCTCCAAAGCCAGCTACAGCATTTCCACTGCCTCATTTGTGCCGGCACTACTGTTCCTGCAGTAAAAGAGATAACAGAACTAAATCCATCTGAAACATTAGGTTGTTGGGKTTTTTTCTGGGTTATTTTTCAGCATCTTTGGTTGAGCTTTCCAGCTCATGAATGACAGTGCTGGCACAGGGAACACGGTGGGAATATGCCACCAGTGACAAGAAAAGACAGCCTCTTTAGTAGTGACCTGCAGTTTGACCAGCATTAAGTGACTGTGGAACTAATCTCTAAAAGATGTCATTTTCTTCACCTAGATGGAGGGCACTCAAGGCAC